AAAAAAAAAAAATGTTTTTTTTCAAAATTAAATTTTTTTCCATTTTTAGTTTTTAAAATCTGTTTTTTGAACCGCATTTCCAATGGAATAATCTCTTCTCATCTCGTTGAAAATTAATCCATTCATAATATTATTTCTTTTCTAAGGATCAGTTTTCAAGTACGAAATCAACTTTTCCATAAAAAAAAAATATATATATATATATATAGTCCACGCGCACAGCATCTGAACGGAAGGCGCGGGTTTATCTTTTATAGCTATTTTAAGCCGTCATAAAAATATGATAGAGGATAAAAAATATCTAATAAATACTGTGTAATCCCTGTTTCTAGGTCGATAAAATGTCCCATGCATATATATAAAAATCCACGCGCAGTAATGGAAAAAAGATCAGAAAATTAATAAAACAAAAAAAAAATCTCAAAAAATATATATAATTTACAAATTTTTATGAAAAGTACCTGCATTTTTAAGTGTAGAAAAAAAAAATTATAAAAACATAATTTTTATGAAAAAAAAATTCTTTTTTCTAAATTTTGTTTTCCCTTATTTTTTTTTCTTTTGGGATAATAAAGAAATATATTTTTTTTTTCTCGTGAGTAAAGAAAATATAAAAAGAAAATTTAGAAGTGAAAAATTCAAATTTGACCCAATTTCGAACCCTCTGGATATAAATACTATCCTATAAGACATAAATCGGAGAGACCCTAAAAAAAATTTCTTTTTTTCCCCCCCACGAAAAAAAAAACTGACGTGTAAATTTATAAAACAAAATTTGCCCCTCGAGAATATATCGTGTGAAATGCGTGTTATTTATCTGATATCAAAATGTAGACAGGGGATCATCGTCAGCTCTTTTTCTCTTATATATTTGCGACTCTTTTTCACTTTCGTTTATAATTTTTTCTTGCATCAGCAAAGTGTAACCTTCAAAAATTTTGCAAAAAAAATTCTGACACACGAATATAAATGACATTTTTCTTCGAAAAAAAAAAGAAAAAATTCTGTCTATTCAAAGAAATACATTTTTTGCCTATGAAGAATTCTTTTTTGACAAAAAAAAACTTTGCGTGACATTTCAAAAAAATTTTCATTTTTTTATTTTTTTTTTAAAGTATTTTCTACATTTTTCAAATATTTACCAAAAAAAAAATTGATCAGAGTAACTTTATCAATTTTTGATAGGATTTTTTGAAAATTATTTTTATTTTTCAATTCTTATTTGAAAAAAAAACTTTTTGTAACAAAAAAACAAAATTCCAAGGAAACTTTGCCATGAAAGGAGTAACGATTTCTCATTTATCAACTTCAGTTCTAATTTATTCCTCTGACTGACTCTCCATTCTCATTACTAAAACCAGTTTGAAAAATGGTTTATCATTTTCGACCAATTCACCTTTATCTTTTTAAAAATGGGATTTTTTCACAGTCATTTATATTTAAAAAACAAAATATTTTTATTTCAACCTCAAATTTTTAATTAATTCCAAATTAACACAGAAAATTAAAAGGCATTAAAATAAGCTGCAACGCTTATTATTTTAATACAATTTTACTTATTTTAATCCATTTTGGTATTAAAATAAGCAAAATTGGATTAAAATAATAAGCGTTGCTTTTAATGCCTTTTAATTTTCTGTGAATTCCAAAAAAAAAATACTTTTTTTTGTTTTTTCACATAAATTAAGAGAGCAAACACTTTCTCGATTATTTTTCATCGCGTAAAATATTTTCACATAAAAAAAACTTTTATTTTTCTTATAGGTAAAAATTTTTTTTTCTAATAAAAAAAAAAAATTACCGCAAAAATTTTTTCTCATCGACTTATCGATTTTGTTCTAATGCTTATAAATATAGAAGGTAAATCCTGCTGACTAAGTGCAATTGGAAAAGAACTGATATCCTGAAGAAGAAGTAATTTTCGAAAATGTGCAAACCAAATATATATATATATATAGAAATAGATTTAGGAGAATGCATGTTCGAGCGGGTTACCAAGATGACCCTCGATCTCATGCGAAAAAGAAATTCCCTCTTGAAAAAAGCCATTTTCAGTGAAAAATAAAATAACCAAAAGTTTTTTTTTGCCTTTTTTTCGTTTGGTTACTCAAGCGCGGAGCTAGAGCCGAAAAAGGATCCACTTTTCAGATATTTACAACTTCCTTTGCCCCGGGTGCTTTAAAAAAAAAAAAGAAAAAAAAACACAAAATTAACGCAAATCTCGCCTTTTTTCCTCACACTTTCCGGTTTATTTTTTTTTAAATAAATTTAATTTCGAATTATTTTTTTTAATAAAAATATTTAAAATAAAAATTTCGAATTTTTTTTTTAATAAAAAAACGTTTAAAATAAATTTAATTTTAATAGGAAATAAAGTGCAAAATCCATAGTAGTAAATATTACCTTTTTTTAATTTTTCTAATTTAATTTATTTATTTATTAATACTATTTAGTTAGTAATTTTTTAAGCATTTTTCAAATTTATCAGAGAAATAAATATTTTGTCAAAATTTCTAATTTAGTCAAATAAAGAAACATTTCTTATTTATCAAATAAATAAATAATAACATTTATTATTTATCAAATAATGAAATAATATGAAAATAATAGTAACTGTGGCCATAGTAACTTTTACCATAGTAACTGTGGCCATAGTAACTGTTACCATAGTAACTGTGGTCATAGTAACTGTAACCATAGTAACTGTTACCATAGTAACTGCGGCCATAGTAACTGTGACCGTAGTAACTTTTGCCTTAGTAACTAACTGTTACCATAGTAACTGTGGCCATAGTAACCGTTACCATAGTAACTGTGGCCATAGTAACTGTTACCATAGTAACTGTGGTCATAGTAACTGTAACCATAGTAACTGTTACCATAGTAACTGCGGCCATAGTAACTGTGACCGTAGTAACTTTTGCCTTAGTAACTAACTGTTACCATAGTAACTGTGGCCATAGTAACCGTTACCATAGTAACTGTGGCCATAGTAACTGTTACCATAGTAACTGCGTCCATTTTCAATTTATCAAAAAAATAAACATTTTGTAAAAATTTCTAATTTAGTCAAATTAAAAAAAAGAAAAAAAAATATTAATAAATTAATTTTTTTTTTAATTTAAAGTTCATATTTAGTCAGAAATGTAACAATAAATAAAGAAATGAGAAAAATTGCCCTGACATCAACATATTGTGTTTTTCGATTTCTCATTAAAAGGAAGCGAAGCAAAAAAAAAAAAAGAAGGCAGTGTAATAATTTCTCTTTGAAGTTTTTTCGATTAGTCAGAAAATTTTTTTTTTTGTTTTTTTTTTTTGTTTTTAAAGAAAGTAGTTTGCAAAGGAAGCTTAAATTTCTTGGAGATTAAGAAGCTGAAGGATTATTCCTCCATCTTGGTTCAATTCGGTAAGCTCGAAACACGGATCTTGTTACCGCTCTTTCTCTCAACCAACAACTTTTTACTTACTAGCGCGGCTCAAAAGGAAAAAAAAAAAATAAAAGTATCGAAAAAAGAAAAAAAAAACCGTGTGCGAAATCTATAGGATTCCTCATTGACCGCTATACCTTTAACCTACAATTTACAACCCTGCACAACTGTAATCGAAAGAGAGAACCCAGTAAAGCTAATTTTTCTCTTTCCAACCTTTTTTTTGTTTTTTCTTTAGAAAATAAAAGAAAGTTGAAAAAAAAACCCTAAAAGCTCGTTAAAACTTTTTCATTTACTTTTCGCACTTAAAAAAAAAGAAACATTTCGATTTTTACCCTGAAATTTTTTTCTTCTAATTTTCTTTTCTAAATTTTCCTTCAAAATTAATTTTTTCCCTTATTATTTAAAATTCGGTATTTTTTTTAATAATTTTATTTTGAAAATATATATATATAGAGAGAGAGGTAAAGAATAAATTTTGCCTTTTCTCAAATAGTGAAGGTACTTTTGTCTGAAATTCGTTTACTGACTGAAATGAATAGGTATTCAAACGGTAGAAGAATCTTTGAATATATTCAGCATAGATATTTTTACATCAATATAAGAGAGGAGAGGAGAAAAAAAAGCCATCACTGAATTCTGTGATCGTGATATATAAAAAGCAAAAGTAGCAAAAATGATAAAAAAAAAGAAGAAAAAAAAATGAACTAGAGGATGGTATTTGATGCCTCATACCCGAAGATGTCGCAGTTGACATTCGAGTCCTTCTCCTCCTCTCTCAATTCGCTTACATGTAACTTTTTCCTCTGATATTTTAAAACCATTACCACTTCAAAAAAAAAAAAAAAATTATTTAAAATAACTAACAAAACAGAAAAAAAACAATTTAAACAAAAATTTAAAAAAAACAATAAAAAAAATAATCTACAAGAGATTGAAAACAAATTAGTCAAAAAAAAAATTATATTAACACAGAAAATTAAAAGATATTAAAATAATAAGCGTTGCAGCTCATTTTAATGCCTTTTAATTTTCTGTGAAAATAAAGAAATTCCAGCGGAAAAAATGACTTAATATCAAATTTTTTTTTTATTTCTACAAATTGCTCCACTAAAAAGTGGGATATTAAATTTCATTCGCAATTGAGTCTTTCGAATTGAGCGTGATTTAATTGAGCAGAATACATACATTTCTAATTTGCTGACACTTAAATTTTTCAATGCTAATTCTTTCCGAGGAAAATTTCACTTTGAAATTTCAACGGAGCGTGAACACAAAAGGTCAGAAAAGGAAAGGGCCACCACACTATGGAATATGAGAGAACTTCTTCTTCTTCTTTCTCCAGTTCTCTAAAAATATTTTAATACCATTTTCCCAAGAGTCTCAATTTTCTTTACAAAAATTTACATTTTTTTTTATTTTCCTATAAAAAACTAATTTTATTTTTTCCCCCAAAAAAAACAATCAAAAATGAAATTAGAAAATTAATTAAAAATATCAATAAAAATTTTTCTTTTTTTTTAAATAAAAAATTAATTATTAATTTTGTAAACATTTTCTTTTTCTTTACAGAACTGGAGGTGGAAGTATGTTAGGTGACGTTAATATTTCAGCAATTTTGGACTCCTTCTCGGTGAATTATGATAAAAGAGTAAGGCCGAACTATGGAGGTGAGTACGACTAAATTTCTTTCTCAAAATTTCAATTCTCTTTGCTTTTATACTTCAAAAAAAAAAAAAACTTTTTAGTTTTTTTTCAAAAAAACAAAAAATAAACCGACAAAATTTTCCCGTGGAAACAAAATTAGAACGCAAAATTTTTTTAACAGGCAAAAAAAAATGATTTTTTTTTCATTTTGTATTTTAATAAACAATTAAAATTACAAATTGAGTAAAAATTCATGGCAATTTGTATATATATATATATATATATATATATATATAGTATACATCTATATATATATATATATATGTATATGTCTATATAAATGAAAGATTAATTCGAAGCAGAAATTCTCGAATATCTGGAATGCTTTTCAAATATTGTACTACACCACGCGCGCATTCGCTCGTGCAGCGTAAAACGATATCCACATCATACAAACTCAATTACCGAGAGATACTAACGATCTCAAACCATTAACCCTGACTCGCATCAACCTGTGTGGTATTAGATGATTACTTACTAATTCAGAAAGTTAAAAAAAAATTGAGCAATTCAAAACAATTTTACAATTTTTCCTTCAAAAAAGAAAAAAAAAATGTTTGCATTAAAATTTTGAACATTTTTTTAATATTCATCACATTGGAAACAAACTTATTACTTATTAAATAAAGAATCATTTCTTATTTATCAAATAAATAAATAATAACATTTATTGTTTGTCAAATAACGAAATAATATGAAAATAATAGTAACTGTTACCATAGTAACTGTTGCCTTAGTAACTATCTGTTACCATAGTAACTGTGGCCATAGTTACTTTTACCATAGTTACTATGGCCATAGTTACTTTTACCATAGTTACTATGGCCATAGTTACTTTTACCATAGTAACTGTTACCATAGTAACTATGGCCGTAGTAACTGTTACCATAGTAACTGTTACCATAGTAACTGCGGCCATAGTAACTGTGGCCGTAGTAACTTTTGCCTTAGTAACTAACTGTTACCATAGTAACTATGGCCGTAGTAACTGTTACCATAGTAACTGTTACCATAGTAACTGCGGCCATAGTAACTGTGGCCGTAGTAACTTTTGCCTTACTAACTAACTGTTACCATAGTAACTGTGGCCATAGTTACTGTTACCATAGTAACTATGGCCATAGTAACTGTTACCATAGTAACTGTGGCCGTAGTAACTGTTACCATAGTAACTGCGGCCTTAGTAACGGTTGCCATGGTAAATAACTGTTGCTATGGAAACGGTTGCCATAGTAACGATTGCTATGGAAACGGTTGTCATGGAAACTGTTGCTATGGTAACTATTACCATGGCAACCGTACGAGGAGACGATGGACGGACAGACAGACACCAAACCGAAACTATAAAGCTTTTGGTCCTAGACCACGAAATCCCTTTAAAAAATTAACCGTAAATTTAGATAAAAAAAACAAAAAGAATTATTATTTTACCTGAATCAAACTATTTTCTCGTACCAAGCAGATTAATTGTATTCTCCTAAAAACCAAATATTGTTCTCTTTGAATATGGATACAATTTTTTTTGTTTTGTTGTATTTCTTTTATTTTTGAATTTAACAAATCTTTTCAAAAATTTATTTAACGCATGATAGAATGATTTTACTTTGTGATGAGAAAATGTTTTCATCTCTCTCTCGCTCTCTCTCTCTCTCTCTCTCTCTGCGAAAAAGGGAAATTCTCTCTTGAATGAAATGAAATCCCTTTCTCTCTCTCTCACGGTTAAGTGATCAGGTGCAACGGATTGCTTATTACGTTACTGCTATGGCGGATACAATCAAAAGAAGATGCATCCAGCATCTTTCAAAGAAAGTCTCGAGTGTCTCGAGACGCGCGAAACCCTCCAGCAGCATTTGATTCAACACGGGAGGGAGGAAATTTTTTTTTTTCATCATTCTTCTTCTTCTTCATCGTCTTCTTCTTCTTCGTCTTCTTTTCTTAATGAGTCGAAAAAAGAGGTCACCTGCTACAGGTTGCAGCCGACTTCTAAATCCATTGTATATGTGTGTGTATGTGTGTGTGTGTGACACATATGAGAAAGAAAATTGTCTAGTCTTGTTTGTATTGTCAGAATTTGCAGCACACGCGGTTTCAAGTCAAATTTTCGGGACACCTCGACTAGTTGGGCGGGGCTGGCTTCGGTAAAACTCGGATCGATGTTGGGACGCTCGTTGCCACGGGTTACCGTTAACAGCATCCCCGGTCCTGGTGGTCCAACCAACCCTATACGGAGAAACGTCTCTCTCTCTCCTCTCTCTCTCTTTCTCTCTTTCGCGATGACGACGTTATCCCGCGGGGCATCAACTTTAGAATTTTCAAATTCTGAATCACAAATCACAAATTCGTTGCTCAATACGACCTGTGGATCTTCTTTATAAGATTTTTGCCCCATTATATTGTGGACAATGGAATTGATCCTTTTTCTCCTCTCTCTCTCTCTCTTTCCTATCTTATTAAAATCAATATAATATCCTTCTTTTTCTCTACTCTTATATAGCAACTGACAATTATCTCTCGTATTATAGAAAAAGATTTCTGACAACAGTTTATCACTTCAAAAAAAAAAATCAATAGAAACAAAATATAGAAAAAAAAATTAAATAATAAAAAAAATATTATATTAATTAATCAAAATAGGAAATTCAGAAATATAAAAGATACGAAGAGATCGCTTGAGTTTTAATGAAGCTTTGAATTTTTAAAGTGAAACAATTCAAGTATCCCTTTCGAAATTATGAGAAAATTCTATCTCCCATCAGGGAAAATACATAATGTATATATCTCTCTGGCCATCGCGCAGAGATCTCTCTCTCTCTCTCTCTCTCTCCCTCTCTTCAGGGAAATGATTATTAGATCCAAATCCGAATAATTCTGACTGTATACCTCGAAACTCCCAAAATACATGTAGCTACCTTTGGATTTTCCATTCATTAACCATGGCCTCTAGAGCAGATTCAACTCTCGCTACTCATTTAGTTTATATATATATATACATATATATATAACTCACGATTACTGTCAGAATCATCTATTCAGCCTCCTTTTGAAAATTGGGACAATTATATATATATAAAAAATTTCAAGAGTCAATATACAGTATTTATACAAAAAAAATTTTACCTAAAAGAAATCTTATTCCTTTCTTTCATTTTTCATAATCTATACTATAACTGAAATAATTTGAAAGTTAATTAATGTTTCTTAACTCATTAACATGGTTACTATGTCAATAGTTACTTATACTATGTCAGAAGTTACTAGGGCAACAGTTAATTATTATGTCAGAAGTTACTAAGGCAACAGCTAGTTACTATGGCAGAAGTTATTTCAGCAACAGTTAGTTACTTTGGCAGAAGTTACTATGGCAGAAGTTACTTGGTAACAGTTAGTTACTTTGGCAGAAGTTACTATGGCAGAAGTTACTTGGTAACAGTTAGTTACTTTGGCAGAAGTTACTATGGCAGAAGTTACTTGGTAACAGTTAGTTACTTTGGCAGAAGTTACTTTGGTAACAGTTAGTTACTATGGCAGAAGTTACTATAGTAACAGTTAGTTACTACGGCAGAAATTATTATGGTAACAGTTAGTTACTATGACAGAAGTTACTAGGGCAACAGTTAGTTACTATGGCAGAAGTTACTTTGGTAACAGTTACTTACTATGGCAAAAGTTACTATGGTAACAGTTAGTTACTATGGCAGAAGTTACTAGGGCAACAGTTACTATAGCAAAAGTTACTATGGCAGAAGTTACTTGGGCAACAGTTAGTTACTATGGCAGAAGTTACTATAACAGAAGTTACTTGGGCAACAGTTAATTACTATGACAGAAGTTATTAGGGCAACAGTTAGTTACTAGGGCAGAAGTTACTATGGCAAAAGTTACTATGGTCCCCATTAGTTACTATGGCAGAAGTTACTATAGAAACCGTTACTGTATGGCAGAAGTTACTGTAGTAAAAGGTAGTTACTATGGCAGAAGTTAATATGGTAGAAGTTACTATCGCAGAAGTTACTTTGGCAACAGTTAGTTACTATGGCAGAAGTTACATTGATAACAGTTAGTTAGTATGGCTGAATTTACTAGGGCAGAAGTTACTAGGGCAACAGTTAGTTACTATGGCAGAAGTTACTATGGTATCAGTTAGTTACTATGGCAGAAGTTACTAGGGCAGAAGTTACTATAACAGCAGTTAGTTACTATGACAACCGTTACTAAAGTAACAGTTAGTTACTATAGCAGAAGTTACTGTGGCCACAGTTGGTTACTATGTCAACATTCGCTATGAAAACGATTACTACGGTAATAGTTGCTATGATAATTTTGTCATTGTATAAAAAAACTAAATATTTAGTGCCGCAAAAAAAACTGTGAGTTATAAACAAAAATTTATTTGAATCTCCAACAGTTAAAAAAAATTTTTTTTTTTTTTTATTTTACAATGAGAGAGAGAAAGAGAATTCCAATTAGCATTTCAATTACTGAAACTGGCAGATCAGCGATAAAGCAGAAATAATAGAGAGCTTTTGATAACCCATTAAAAATTTGAATTCAAAACTAGTAAAATAAGTTTTTTTTCCTCAATATATATATATATATATATATATATATATATATAAGTATATTCTGTTGGATCATCAAAAAATTTTACTTTTTCTCTCTCTTCTTCTTCTTTTTTTTTCTTTTTGAATCTCAGATATGCGGATCGTATATATAGAGAGTTCCTCCCACACACTATAACCTCCACCGCACAGATTTGAAACTTCAGTAGATAGATCTTTGACATTTACGTTGATTAAAGTAGTTTCTTCTCGTCAACTTTTGCTCACCACTTCTCTTGGAAAAAAAAAAAAATTTCCTCATATTTTCCTATCAAAGTCAAAATTGCAAACATCTGTTGACGGTGCTTTATCATAAAAAAAAAATAAGAATCACTAAAAATTTATGAATATAATTTTTGTCCTTTTCATAATGGAAGTGAAAAATTATGACGCAATTTCTACGCACCCTTGTTGAGAGAAGAGGAAATCGATATTATAGAAAAGTTTCGTTATATATATATATATTACGACCGTGTATCATTCGTCAGTGAATCGTAAAACACAGTAGAAATGGTTAGAAGTCGAGGGAAACTGCGTTGCTTCAGGCTACCGTTAACTTTGCCAAATTGTTCATGCTACTATATATATATATATATATATTGCTTGGGGCAGAAAAAGGGAAAGAAAACAAGTCCAAGCAAAAATCTCGTATGTACTTTATATTCCAAAACCGTAAAGGCATATCAAAGTAGTGCTTTTCACAGAGAAAGTAAATTGTTGTTTACTGTTTATAAAAAAAAAAACGATATTGTTCATATTATACAGAAAAGAACTCAGTGATTTAAAAAAAAAAAATTTTATTTCTCCTTTTTTGGTTTGTTTTCCTTCCGTTCATTTTTGATTCTGTTATAATGCTACCACAGGCACCTCGAATCGACTTGAAGGCAATAAAAAAGTCGATTTCCATTTCAAAATAGTTTTTATTATTTTAATTAAATTTAATTAGTTAACTAAATATTTTTCTTTAAATAACTAATGTTTTTTTAAAAATATTTTTATGCGCAAATAATAATTTTAGATTATTAAATTTTATTAAGTTTGCTGTGGCAGCGAACTATTTGCTGTCACTTTAAATTATGTTAGCTAATACAGGGACAGCGAATAAATTTGCTGTGAGGTCCAAAAAGTTTATTGTGACAGTAATTTTTTAATAAAATTAATACTGATATTGTTTATCACAGCAAAATTTTTCGTTCTCATAGCAAAAAAATTTAGCTGTAGTGACTAATTTTGATAGATCCGATAGCAAACATCAGTTAGCATCTGTAAGCAATTCCTTATTTTCTGTGTAAAAGAAATTTTCCAAATTTTAATTAGGAAATTTTTTTTTTGAAACACGGAAAAAAAAGGAATTGTTTCCAGATGCTAACTAGTGTTTGCTATCGGATCTATCAAAAATTAGTAACCACAGCTAAATTTTTTACTACAACGAAAAAATTTGCTACGGTAAACCAGTATTAATTTTTGAAAAATTACTGTCACAGTAAATTTTTTTGACCCCGAAAATTTCTTCGCTGTCCCTATATTAGCTAACGTAATTTGATGTGACAACAAATAGTTCGCTGCCACAGCAAACTTATTCTAGTGAAGAATTCTTAAAGTTCAATTTTTTAAATGTTTTCAAGTCTACAAAAAATTTTCTGTCGCAGCGAATTTTTTTTTGTCACATCAAATTACGTTAGCTAATATTGGGACAGCGAACAAATTTGCTGTCACTTCAAATTACGTTAGCTAATATAGGGACAGCGAATAAATTTGCTGTGAGGTCCAAAAAGTTTATTGTGACAGTAATTTTTTAAAAATTAATACTGATATTGTTTATTACAGCAAACTTTTTCATTGTCATAGCAAAAAATTTAGCTGTAGTGACTAATTTGATGTGACAACAAATAGTTCCCTGCCACAGCAAACTTTTTCTAGTGAAGAATTCTTAAAGTTCAATTTTTTAAATGTTTTCAAGTCGACAAAAAATTTTCTATCGCAGCGAATTTTTTGCTGTCACATCAAATTACGTTAGCTAATATAGAGACAGCGAATAAATTTGCTGTGGGGCCAAAAAAAGTTTGCTGTGAGAGTAAAATTTTTTAAAAATTAATCTTTTTCCGTGCAATTTTTTTTTGGTAATTTCATTGGCTAATAAAAAAAAAAAAAAATTCGATCTAATATAAAATCCATAATATCGAGTTGGATATATATTTCTTTCCTATATTAATATTGACAACACTCGAGAGAGTGTAAAGATTTTTTCTCACATACTAGACGTTTGTCATTTGTAAATAAAATTCGCACCACCCACACACACACATTGTATATATACAGATATAGTGCTGAATATGTGATGATATAAAAACAAATGGTATATGTGTTCAAGCTGTTGTTTATGATTCGACTTCTCTACATTTTGCCGAGTCTCATCGCCTACAGATATATATATATATATATATTTTCAACACACACAGATGAAGAAATATTATCTTTCCACTGTGATGTTGGTGTATGTTCACTTCAAGGAGAATATATGCATTTAGGTTGAAAGTCTCTCTCTCTCTCTCTCTCTCTTTCTCTCGATCCGTTTGCTGAATATGTTGAGATGAAGTCGCGGAAACATTTCCAAAGAGCCCCCCCTCTATACTGAAGATTTACTCTCAGTGTAGACTCGAGTGAATCTCAAGTGGAAGCAATTTCATATAGTATTGGGGGTAAATGATTCGGAAATTGTATCAAAGTGCCAGGATTTTTCTTTGCCACTCATTTTTTTTTTTTTTTGCAAAAAAGAAAAAAATAATCTAAAAACGCATTATGCTTTTTTATGTACCACACAACGATGCGAGTCAGCGTAAAATGTCCTACACAATTTCTATCATTTTCAACTACTTCTATGCTTACCGTGCAGAAATTTTGAAAGGGCCCTGGCAGGGCCCAAGTCGGGAAGCTTCAAATTCGCATAAAACTGGGAATCGGGGCCACAGAAAAAAACCCTACTTCAGCCCGATTAAAACCGGGGCCCGATCAGGGCCTGGTTTGGCCCCGGTCGGGTTCCCTATTTCAACCAGATCAGGGCCAGGTTGGCGAATTTCTGCACGGGTTTTATTATAGAATTAGAAAAAAAATCCTGTGTAGAAATTTCCCTACCAGGGCCCTAGTAGAAATTTCCCTATCAGGGCCCTAGTACGGAATGAAACGCTGATCAGGGCCAAATCAGAGCGACTAGAAAAGGTGGAATTCCTAATCAGGGCCACATCAGGCACGGCGTTTCATTCCCTAATAGGGCAGTCTAATCCGGCCCCGATCTGGGCCCTGACAAAACATCTGCACGACTAGTAGGGAACGAAACGCCACATCTAATCAGGGCCAAAGTAGAGCGAGTAGAAAATGTGGATTTCCTAATTAGGGTAACATTAGGTTCGGCGTTTCATTCCCTAATAGGGCAGCCTAATCCGGCCCCGATCTGAGCCCTGGCAAAATTTCTTCACGGTTAGTAGGAAATGAAACGCCACACCTGATCAGGGTCAAATCAGGGCGACTAAAAAAGGGGGAATTCCTAATCAGGGGCACAACAGACGCGGCGTTTCATTCCCTAATAGGGCAGACTAATCCGGCCCCGATCTGGGCCCTGGCAAAATTTCTGCACGACTAGTAGGGAACGAAACGCCACATCTAATCGGGACCAAAGTAGAGCGATCAGAAAATGTGAATTTCCTAATTAGGGCCACATCAGGAACGGCGTTTCATTCCCTAATAGGGCAGCCTAATCCGGCCCCGATCTGGGCCCTGACAACATTTCTGCTCGGGATTATAACCGTACAGAAATTTTGCCAGGGCCCACACCGGGGCCAGATTAGGCTGCCCTATTAGGGAATGAAACGCCGCACCTATTGTTGCCCTAATTAAGAAAATCCACATTTTCTACTCGCCCTGATTTGGACCTTATCAGGTGTGGCTATTCCCTACTAGGGCCGTGACAGGTCCCTGATAGGGCAATTTCAACACGGGTAATTAGAAATAAAATTCTAATTAAAAATTAAGAAATAAAATTCTTAGAAATAACCTTTTTTGTAAAAAAATTGGAAATTGTGGATATCGTAATTACGCTGTGAGAATAATTCGGCTCGCGAAAATAAACAAATACGATTGGGAGCGAGTATTTATTTATTTATTTATTTATTTATTTTTTTTTTTTTGGTTATATTTTTTTTGTAAAAGTAGTACTGACGATGAAAGTAGAATCGGTCGTAAAGACCGACTTAGTGAAGTAACCTTCATTTCAGGTCCTCCTGTGGAGGTGGGCGTCACCATGTACGTCTTGAGTATCAGCTCCCTATCCGAAGTGCAAATGGTATTATTTAGGTCTTACGCAGTCATTCCCGCTAAATCAAATTTTTTATATAATCAGTTTATAAATATATAAATATATATACATATATATATTTATTAAAAATGCAATCATTCCGATCGTCAAATCACAAACATAACCTCTACCAAACCTTATAGCAAATCATTTTTTAGTGCGACCCTTATATAAACAAATACTGCCTAATTTCTAATATACACCAACACCAATAATAATAATTAGAACATCTAAACAAAAGAGTTGTCAAATTGATTCAAAAAAAAAATCATAATTTTTAAATACGTAATTTTGCGTAATTTATGTAAGTTTACGTATTTTTACGCATTTTTACGTAATTTTACGTGATTTTACGTGATTTTACGTGATTTTACGTAATTTTACGTAATTTTACGTGATTTTACGTAATTTTACGTGATTTTACGTAATTTTACGTAATTTACGTAATTGTAAGTAATTGAAATAATTAAATACCTGTTGTAATATATCAATTTAACAACTCTATTTTGGAAAAAAGAACTTTCGTACTAGCCGGGCAATGGAACGCAACAACTATTTTGAGATATATAATTTAATATCACCGCAGGAAAGTTTTGATATAATTTAATTTTAACAATATATGGTAAGCCGCAAATTATTATTTGCACTGCGGGAAAATGTATATTTTAGTGTGTATATTAGATGAAACATGTTGATTTAATCTAAACTTCATCCCCATAAAATCTATTGGTCATCTGAGTTAAATGGCTGATCACTTATCAAGCTTACTAACGAGATGATTGATACAACTAATAGCATTATAGGCTATATATATATATATATGAATCATCGTGTTGGGAATGTATTTGAAACGTAACCTGACGCTTTGTGCAATTACAGACTATAATTGCCCTCAACAATCTATAATAATCGATAATAAAAAATATATCGATAATCTATAACAATCAATCAAATACATAAAATCAAACTTTTGTCTTTAAATGAACATCATTTAATAAATATAATATATAACCAGAAATTTAAAAAAATAGTAGAAAAAGTCAATAGTTAGTCAGGCATAATTAATTTCGTATTAAAAAACAAGTAGTAAAATTCGGTTTTAGTTAGACTTGTTAAAACTTTTTTTTAAAATTTTATCAGTAGTACAAATCAATATTTTGTAGGACTAATGAATTTCGTAATAAAAAACCAGTAGTACAAATCAATATTTAGTCAGACATTATGATTTGTGTTTTAGAAACTAGTAGTAAATATCAGTATTTAATCAGACTTAATAAATTTCGTAATTATAAAACAAGTAGTACAAATAAATATTTAGTTCTACTTTCTCTTTTTTTATCACAGAAAATTAAAAGGCATTAAAATAAGCTGCAACGCTTATTTTAATACTTTATAATTTTCTGTGATTTTGTCAGTAGTATAAGTCAATATTTAGTCAGTCCTAATGATTCGCATATTTGAAAAACAAGTAGTACAAGTCAATATTTAGTTTGACTTTATCTAAATTGTTTTTCTAATTTTGTCAGTAGTACAAGTCAATATTAAGTCAGTCCTAATGAATTTTTGTATAAAAGACCAAACACGTAGTACAAGTCAATGTTTTTGTTTGAATTTCTTAAAAAAAATTTTTAATGATTTTATCAGTAGTATAAACCAATATTTAAAACAACTTTCTTAACAAAAATTTTTTCACAGTAGTACAAGTCAATATTAAGTTCGATTTTTTTCAAATTTATTGAAATTGTCGCAGTAGTATAAGTCAATATTTAGTCAGACAATAAAATTTTTATTTAAAGAAAACAGTAGTACAAGTCGGATTTAGTCAGACATTTCAAAAAAAAAATTTCCAATTTTATTAGTAGTACTTGTCAATATTTTGTTTCAGTTTCTTAAAATATTCTGCAATTTTTTTAGTAGTATAAGTTAATATTCAGTCAGACATAGTGAATTTTGCATTTAAAAACCCGTAGTACACGTCAGTTTTAGTCAGACTCCCTAAAATTTTTTTTAATTTCGTCACTAGTATAAGTCAATATTTAGTCAGATATAATAAATTGCGTATTTTAGAACCAGTAGTATAAGTCAATATTTAGTTCGACTTCCTAAAAAAAATTCCTAATTTCTTCAGTAGTACAAGTCAATATTTAGTCAGACTTTTTATATTCAATATTATGTTTTACTTTCTTAAAATTTTCTGTAATTTTGCTAGTAGTATAAGTCAATATTTAGTCAGACATAGTATATTTTGTAATAAAAACCAGTAGTAAGCGTCGATTTTAGTCGGACTTTCTAAAATTCATTTAATTTCGTCAGTGGTACAAGTAAATATTTCATCAGACATAATAAATTTCATATTAAAAACTAGTAGTACAAGTCAGTTTTAGTCAGACATTGTAAAATTTTTGAATTTTTAGTAGTACAAGTCAATATTTAGTCAGGCATAGTAAATTTCGTACTAAAAAAAGTAGTTCGTGTCAATTCTAGTCAGACTTCTTTTAAAAAAAATTAATTTTATCAGTAGTACAAATCAATATTTAGTTCGACTGTCTCTTAAATTTTTTTTGTCTCGTTTTTTTGTCTCCTAATTTTTTTTGTAAGCATTGGAAATTTTCGAAACGGATAAAAATTAAGAATAAAAATTTAAATATCAAAGAAGCAGATGTATACAACACACAAAAAGGACTAAATCCTCTCCTCATCCAAAAGGGTTAATTGCTCTTAGTAGCAAGAAATTTTGACACTTGAAACGAACCCCCTCGAGAGAGAGAGAGAGTGAGAGGGAAGATAAGAGCAAGATGCAACGTCCAAGAGAGAGAGAGAGTGTGTCCCTTTTGGTGTTTAATCTGCTTCTGTCATAGACGACAATAGTCTGAAATTTCGCACAAATTGCCAGGTGGTTCAAATTTTCTAAGACGCGATAATATCGCTCTTAATTACCATGCCAAGAATGACAATGTCCAGAGTAAAGGGAAAACGTGTTCACTTCAAAGATATATACAGTGGTTCCTATATATATATATATATATATATATATATATTCCACATTCTATTCACCATATTATATACAGTTTCAATAATTGTTTCGTTCCAAAAACCGAATTTTACGAAAGGTCTTTTATCAAAAAAAAAAATTCGCGCGAATTAAAAATTTCCAAAATTTAACGGCAATTACACACATACACTTGCATATATACAAAAAATATAAATACACAAATTGCATATATACATAGAATGTAGGAGTAGCATCGTGTATAAGTCACAGCCCAATGAGTGAGACACTATTATTTTTTTTTATGACGAACGCATGTTTTTTTTCTCTATATTTATATATATATAAACCAACACATGATGGTACTCTTACAAAAAAAAATTCTTGCCTAGAGAGAAATTATAAAAAAAGCAATAAATAAAATTAATTCTATTGAAAACAGAGACAGAGAGAGAGAGAGAGTTATTCTATTTTTGAATGATGCTAATGATGATATATACAATTGTAAACGCTTTGGATTAATGAAAATTTTATTATATTATCTCTCTCACTCTCTGTGTCCAGGCAAACTGGAAACTTTTGGACACACACACACACACACATACAAATACAAAAACAAACACCATTGTTATTCTATATCTGTCTCTCTCGAGTGAGCATGGTCCGTGATCCAAACGGAGCAAGCAACTTTATTCTACTTGTGGTAAACACTTTAATTTCCGGACGAGTGTGTTTATCGATTAAATTTCACTAACAAGTGACCGATTGTTTCTACCTAACTTTTTACGTCTGTCTCTCTCAACTACATATATATATGTATATTCAAATTGTGAAAATAAAAAAAAAAATTCTCAATTTAATTTCGGGTTTTTTTTTTCATTTTTCTTTTTCAACGAATCATTTGTCTATAAATAATTATTATTAATAATTATTTTTAATAATTATAATAATTATAATTTAATAATTTATAATTATTATTAATTATTATTTTTATAATTATTTCAATAATTATTTTAATAATTATTTTTTTAATTATTTTAATAATTATTTTTATAACTAATTATTTATAATATAATTAATTTTCAACAATTACAATAAACTTCGTGGATCACAGATCACCACACCAGGACGAGATCTTTTTTTTAAATAAATAAATGAAAAAAAAATTCTTGAAATCTATATATAAAAAAAAAATTCTTTACAAAAATCCAATTTTTCTGGATCTCGTCCTGTGTGAGAGTATTTTTTTTTTTTCTCAAACATTTTTTTTTCTCTTGTGTTACGTCTTTCTTAGCGAGCTCTAGAGGATCTGTGTCATTTGTCACCGGCATGCGTTTTATCGCTATTCATTCAGCTATATATACACACACACATATATATATATATTTTTTTATACACACAATCACACACCAGTCACAAAAAATAAATTTTATTTCTCACAAATAAAAAAAAACGCGCAAATTTCCAAATTATTAACAATCTGAGATGGAAAAATACAAAAAAAACGAAAATATAAATCTGAATTATTCCCAAGGTAAAAAAAATTATTAAATTTCTTTTGCTAATTTTCCAAAACAATAAAATTTACACAATTCTCTCTGTTTCACGCACTGATCGTCATTTTTTTTTTTTTTTTTTATAAACTTGTTTTTCACCATATTATTTCTGCCATAAGAACGAATGTGGCATTTAATACAGCTAAAATACTAGAAATTCTTTCATGAAACTTCAATTTGATCTCGTCGTAAAAATCTTATGGTTTTATTTACGAAAATAAAAACCAATTTTTACGATTCTCCTTTATCGGAAATAATTTTTCTATTTTGGAAATAATAAATTAACTTTTAATTTTCTTAAAATTATTTTTTTTTTCTTAAAATTTTTTTGTCATTATTTTAAGTAGTAATAGTCCATATTTAGTCAAACATAATGAATTTTGTATTTAAAAAACCAGTAGTATAAGTCAATATTTAGTTTGACTTCTTAAAAAGAAAATTTT